CATGGTGATTTGACAGCCGATTTATCACAATAGAATTTCAACAATGATGTTCGAATAAACGATCACCCAAATGTTCATGCATGTGAAGAACACAGTGCAATCGGATCTGGAACACCATGACATTTTATCTTTCAACGGGGCGTTCATCGCTCCTCAGATGATTAATGAACTGCTCCCCCGATCCATCCATGTCCTGCATTAAAACTCACCATTTCCAGGCATCGTTGAGAGTACAACTGGAAGCTTTTCTCGCGTCCGGTTTCATCTGGACTTTGAGAGTGTTTATTTACACCGGGTCTGATCGTCCCGCAGCCCGTAGACTGCTTGTTTCCTACCTCCGTGCGTTTCATTAACAGGTTAAGGTTCAGAGTGAGCCACGTGCATTTCGGCTCGAATCCTAGATTCGAGAAGATCGGACGGAGAGGGCATCCATCAGTGGCTACAACGAGATTTCTTCTCTGTTTGCATGGAACGTACGGCTTGGCATCACTATTCTCAGAAACGTCGAAACACCACAAGCTGGACGATCGAGTTGTAGATACCGACGTTTCTCGGTGTAAAATGGGACTTTGCTGTCGTGACTGAACTCCGCTCGGTAAAACCTGCCTCGCTTAGCAACTGGTTCACGCTTTTCACCTTGTCTCGCTCTCGGTACAGGTTCACAGGTCCCCTATTTGGCATTCACACCCTCTCGATTGAAACTTTTCTTATCTGCGACGGTAGTCCTGGCCATTCATCTTGTGGTCATCATGGAGCTTGGGATTAAGCTTCTCGAGCTTTTGCGGGGCTGCGCCTTTTACCAATGGGTTCGCGGGAGCTCACCTGACACCCGTTAGCTCCGGAACTTCGAGACCCTTGTTAGGATGATGGTGTGGAAGTCGCTGGTCTGAGTTGGCAGCTACCAAAAAAAGCCGATCAGACGCAGACTCTGGGCTCGATGTCTGGACGAGGCCGTCCTGGATGTATCCACTACCATGATAAAACGATTGATTTTCGAAGTTAATGTGCAGCTCTTTCGCAAAGTGACTGCCACGAACTCACCTAGTTCTTCCGCACTGTTCGTATTCGTAATGCATTCCACACAGACCTTGACCTAATGTTTGCCCTCTGAAAGGTAAGCAACGCAGTAGGGGAACTAGGTTGGTTTATACCAGTGTCCAAAGCGGTACATTATCGATAAATTGGTACCGGCACTATTTTGGACGGTTACGTTACTGTCGTCTCAAGCACCTCGGGCTTAACCTACCTCAACAGACTTCGGAATGGCGACTTACGCAAGCAAAGAAAACGCTCACAGCGTGGACGTCTGGAACTCTCATAGAAACTGTTGTTGTTCTTTCCTTCAGATACTTCATGTTTGTATGCAGAAAACATCAATGTCATTCATCGAGGCTCCTGAGGCCCCGTTTGAGGCTGGAGGCGGAGCATTGTGGGGCAGTCACACAATACGAGAATGCGAAAAATCAGCGATTGGTCGAGAGCAGAGCGCGAATGGCTTCACCGCAGAGACCCCTATTATGTATTTAAGAACTTGGCAGTGACATTGCGGAGGCTTTTCTCTTGAGAAATCTACAATTCGAAAGATCAACTCGTCGTTAAGCTCGTCTCATCATCCTATCCCAGCTTGTGCACTAGTTTGCCTCACGGATTTACGCACCATTCTCACGCAGTTGTCATTCGAGGAAAACCGACAAAAAGCCATGGGTCTGGTCCATTTCGAGGACGGAAAAGTCCTTTTCTACCCATACACACCCTCCAAGGCCGCAGGCGTCATATTCTTATTTCTTTTTGCTGGCATTTCGTTGTACCACATCTTCCTGATACGAAAGTTCAAGACCAAATACTTCATCCCAATGGTACTGGGAGGCATATGTAAGTCCAGAATCCTCCAGATCAACGATCCGACTTTGGATAAACTGAGTCTAACAAAAAGGGCAACAGGCGACACCTTCGGCCACCTAGGCCGCGCCTGGGCCGGCTCCGCCCCCCTCTCCCCCAAACCCTTCATGCTCCAACTCATGCTCATCCTCGTCGCCCCCGTCTTCATCTCCGCCACGCTCTACATCACCCTCGGCCGCCTCAAAGAATCCCTCCTCGGCCACCCGCGGCGCAAATGCAGCCCGACGAGCATCTTCATCCTCACCGACATCGTCGCCTTCTGCACGCAGATCGGAGGCTCCCTCGTCCAAGTCATCGCGAACCCGAAGATTATGGAGATTGGCGGCCACGTGGTGCTCGGCGGGCTGCTGTTCCAGCTGTTTGTGCTGGTGGTGTACTTTGCGCTCGTTGTGAGGTTTCAGAGGGCGACGCAGAGGGAGGTGATTTACGTGGAGCATTGGAGGCGGTATGTGTGGACGCTGGTGATCTCTGTGGTGGCTGTTTGGGTAAGGAACTTGGTGAGGGCGGCGGAGTTTGGGGAGGGGTGGTACGGTTTTGTGAATCAGAACGAGGCGATGATGTACATCTTTGATTCGTTGCTGATGTTCTCGGTCATGGTTGCGTTTGCTGTCTTCCACCCAGGACAGCTGAATGATTCGCAGGGAAGTATGTCCAAGGGCAGGCAACGCGTCACGTCTGAGCAGGTTGTCATGGGTCCGTTCGGAAACCTAGCTTAGGCGGGAGATAGTTAGACGTCTTAAAGAAGACGATATCTGTATAACATCTACCAATATTCATTCTCAGCGCCACTCCTTGTCAACCACAGTGAGCGCATCATACCCGCCCTTCACAACCTCGGAGTCGACGACGAAGATCGCGAGCAGCTTCGCGCTCAGCACCCGACTGTTGTTTTCTCCAACTGTATGATGACACCCCGGCTGTTCCATGAAGCTCTCGCCGACTTTATAGACCTGTGGTGGGTTCCCATTCATCCCGCTGAGTATGGTGCCTTCCGTGACGCGCGCAATCACGGTAGCGCCTGAGTGGCGATGGGGGGGGGGGGGGGGGGGGGGGGGGGGGGTGAAGCCGTCGGGCGGATATTCGACCTCGACTCCAACGATCGATTTTCCAGGAGCGTTCTGGAGTTGGTAGTCGTAGAGAATTTTGACGGTCTCTCGGGGTCGGTTGCTGTTTTGGTAAGCAAAGTGGCACGGGTTATGTAAAGGATGAGAATGGCACTCACCGGTTATCTGCAGTGTGACTGTTCATCTTGGGCAGTGCTCGAATGATCCCAGCTTAAGGTAGTTGGCTAAGGCAAACAAATGAATGCGGTCTGTCTTATACGTGCTGGCATTCTGATGGAAACCCGGAGGTCTGACAACCCGTCATCTCATCTGCCAATCGTCCAAGCGGAAAGCACAGATGCGTTGAAGCCGACGCCGACAGATTATGGATACCCGCCGATGTCATCTGAAAGCATGCTGAGAAACCGAGGCTCGCTTTGCTTTCGGTCTCCCATGCGTAGAATACGGTAGTCATGTCGTGACGGCGGCCGGAGTGAGTCCCCGACGCGGATAACCGGGTACCCGGCCCCACCTCGATTCCCGAACCCGATCCCGCGCGGCGTGGATTACCGAAGCTGTGTCCTACCGGCCATCATCTCCAAGTCGTTAAAACCCAACGGGGATTCGCGACGATGCCAACGAAAAGACCAACAAATTCTCATCCAGCTGCCGCATTCGTAATTGTGCACCACTGACTCAGTCTGATCAACATCCCATCATGAAAGCAATCCAAGTCCTCGGCCCCGCCTCCTCCCCAGAGATAGTCACCACCACCTCTCTCCCCACCCCCGTCCCAAACCACTCCGAAATCCTAATCCGCGTCCACGCCGCCGGCATCACCGCCCCCGAGCTCCTCTGGCCCGAGCTCTACACCGCCCCGCACCGCATCCCAGGCCACGAGCTCTCCGGCACCGTCGCCGCCCTCGGGCCCACCTACCCCGGCCCCCTGCGCCTCAACCAGCCCGTCTTCGCCTTCATCGCCGCAGACCGCGGGGGCGGCGGACAGGCGGAGCACGTCGTCTGCCTCCCGGATGAAGTCGCGCCGAAACCAGTATCTGCGACGCATGAAGAGGCGGCTGCGCTGCCGATCCCGCTTCTTACGGCATGGGAGGGGATCATCACCCGCGGGAAGGTTGGAGCGGGGATGAAAGTGCTGGTTACGGGCGCCAGCGGTGCGGTGGGGAGTATCGCGGTGCAGATTGCGGCGCGGCGCGGGGCTGAGGTCGTTGCGCTGGCGTCGTCGCGGAGTGAGGAGAAAGTGAGAGGGCTCGGGGCACGGGAGGTTGTGGATTACAATGATGAAAGTTGGAGTGCTGAGGTACGAGGCGTGGATGTGGTGTTTGACACGGTTGGTGGAGGTGTGCTGGGTAAATGTTGGGAGGTGGTTAGGCCCGACGGGATGATCATCACCGTCGGCGACCCGGCGCCGCAATGGGCATTTGGCCGTGGTCCGGCAGAGTCGGCGGGGAGGTATCCTGATGTGCGGTATGAGTACTTTATTGTGTCACCGAACGTTGAAGCGCTCTCTGAGGCAGCCGGGATGATTGACGCGGGGTTGATCGAGGTATTGCGGGTGGAAGCGTTTTCCTTTGAAGAGGCGGAGCAGGCTTGGGAGTATGCTGGGAAGAGGGGGCGTAATGGCAAGGCAGTCATCACCTTTGGAAATTTCGACTGATCGAGACAGTGAGCTCATTTTTTGCTATGCTGCGGCTCAGAGAGTTTGTGTGTGATCTCTAGGTTTGGTGGTTCACGATTGGTTTGATGCGCTTTGGCATGGAGTCCTACCGCATGTTTATTTCCTCTATGTATACCTCAGTGGAGATGGGAAGTAGTCCTTAGCACTAAATTACTATGAGAACTCCGTCTAGTAGGAGAGGCCTTCTTGCTGGGGGAAATTCTCAACGTGGGAAGGTCACTTCTTAACTAGAAGAAGTACATTCAATTAGGATGACTTTTTCTTCATATTATTTACTTCTAAGTCTGTAATTAACCTATTAGTCGTCGGTGAAGTGGTGACACTGCTCCTTGGGTTTGCAGGTACGAGCTCTTCAGTCCATGTTATAGAGATGGTATGTTTAGTTCACCCTTCTTAAGGAAAACAACATCCCCAGAAAGAGGATCCATGGCCGTCGCAAAGTGTGTGAAGTCATTAAACACGGGCTCAGACATCATCCACCTCTTCAAGACGCTCTTAGTAACGCCTCGAGTTCGAGAATTCGGCTGAAGACTCTTTGCCAAGGCTATGCACGATCCATTGCCGCTCTGCCCTTCCGCTGTGTCAACATCCGTCGAGGCAGTAGCCTCTAATCTCTTGCTGTGAGTCTTCCAGTTGTCATGGATAAAGTTCTGCCGCTCAGCCGACCCGGAAAGCCATAGAGAGTCCTCCGGAATGGAAGATGAATCTTCCAACTCGAGTGCCTTGTGGTGGAACTCGGAGGCCCCGCAGCAGAGGGTGTGGTTGGTGTCGTGGTTTGCCTGGGCAATGAAGTCGTACGTGTGTTTGATGTTGCCACCGATGTAGTCTTTCTGGATGACCACCGCCTCCTGTGGGGTGCTGAATATGAGGTAGCACGACGGCGACGGGTTCTTCATGAAGTCGGTCGCGAAGGCGATGAGGCTGCTGGTATCTGTGTCCTTTGCGCTTTTAACGTCGACAGGTTTGGGTGGTAACAGCACTTGACGTAGCATGGAGGATATCGGTGGTCTTCGGCCTAGGAGAACGAGGACCTGGTGGAAAATGGACGACTTTGTTCTGGTGTTCATCAACGGCCTGTGGTTGAGTGAGAGAGATAGCTCTGGTCTAATTATGGGAACCAGTCAACTCCACGACCATCACAAAGGAGCACGCAATGCGACTTCTCCTACCTGACGCCAGTGAGGGTACCGACAAAACCGGCGTATGTTATTGATCTCGCCAAGACGCGATCAGGTTGTTGTGACTTGGAGTCGACAAAGTCAAGTTGAACTAGTACATCCGCCAGCTCGGGCATGCCCCAGTCAAGCGTACGAAAATGCATCAAATGCGACGGCGCGTCTTCCGGGGCGTCATCATCGCAAACCGGGACCGTACCCGAGGTGCACCCCAGCAGACAATCCAGAAAGGTGTTGAGGGCGACGACGAGATGCAGATCGACGCCAGCCGTCTCGGCGATGGAGCGGATCTCGCGGTTCTCGTCGTCGTCGTAGACGCGGCGCAGGCACAGGCGGACCAAGAACTTTGCGAGGCGGATGATCGGCGGGTAGACCAGGATCTGTGCAAGGACAAGGTCGTAAAGGGGCGCTATGGCCCGCAGCTGCTCAGCAAAGTCCTTTGCTATTTGGACGTATCGCTGCTCTGGCGGGAGGGCGAGGTCGATGCGGTAGATGGGCACCGCGTCTGTTGACGACATGTTGAAGGATGCATGTGCGGTACGGATATGGATGGGAGGTTGAGTGGAGGTTGGGCGGAGGTTGTGCAACGTCGACTATGCATGCGCGATGGATGCTGTCGCGGAAAGAGGTGCAGATTCTGCTTGTTAGTTCCTGCCTTCTGTTGCTGCATCCGCTATCGCTCTTGCTCTAGCGTAAGTACCTTCCATTGCCAGACCAGCCACATCCAAATTGCGGGGCCTACGCCACACTTTGAAAATTCTGTTCAAGCTTCGATGAATGCCTACCGGTTAAGCATCGCAATACCGTCCAAAAGCTCCGATCCAGGTTCGCAAGAATATTGTATCGCTCCCGACACTCACAGTGACGATTTTCGGTTATTGGGCGCGGGTGGCGGCAGGGTTGCAGCACTGACAGAGGCCCAGCGCGGTGGAGAGCGAAAGCCCCGGCTGCAACGGCTTGCGCACTAAAAATGTCCACGTAGGAGAAGAATGCGGTGTTGAGCCAATCAGCAGGCGAGCGCATTCGTGTCTCGGTGCCAGCCGTCGACCCCTAATGCTTGTTTACGGCCCATTTCACGCTGCTGAGTTGTCACCGGATGATGCAGTTGGTGTCGAAATACGTCATTGCTGTCTTCTCAGAAAGACAGACAACTTTCAAGAGCTGAAACTAATATTCTGCGACACAATTTAGTAGGTGCGAATCACGACATAAGGGGAGCAGGGCAATTAGCAGGGCAGCGTGTGTAACCGAGGCCAGGCAGAGGCGGCGAATGTCCATGTCTGGCATGCTCCGTCGCAAATCCGAGTCGCCGGCCGGGAACCGAGACGGGTCCTTGGCGGGGCTCATAATGTTGCAGCACACCTGTGCAGGCCATCGGCTCAATAAAAGGTTCCGTCCGACCCGCAGCGTTGCCGTCGCTTCGCGAGGGAGTGAGTCGTGAATCATGAACAGCAAAGCAGGCTGGGCTTTCTGTTGCAACACATGTTGACAGCTGTGTTTCTGCTGCCAGGCAAAACCCGGGAAATTGTGTTGGGGGATTTTCTTTGAGGGCCGCCGGAGCCCTTTTAACCCGCCACCACTTACCTAGAAGGTGGCTGTAGCGCGCCCCGACGCCGCCAAAAAAACATCCGTGACGACCAGAACACGGCCAGAATTTCTGGGCGCTTAAGGCGGCGCATCCCTGAAAATCCAGGATTCGAATGTCGTGATTGGCCCTGGCACCTGCTTTTACTATGGGGAGCCATCTTATCAGATGATCTAATCTGATCGGTCGTTTTCGATTCGCCGTGCGAGGTGCAACGTGACGACGGGAAGCCGGCGTGCCTTAGTTGCTTTGCCTTAGCTGGCAGTGGTTGGCAGTGGTTGGGTCCTGCCTTGGCTTTACTGTGTGTGTGAGTTGTTCGCTGCTGCTCCGGCCTCGCTCTGCTGACTGATGACTCCCAAAGTGCGCGTCGTGTGAGCAGTGATCCGGTGATCCTGAATCCTCTCCGACTCGCCCTAGACTGTCCAATCCCGCGAAACCAAGTCATGCGGCAGCCTTCATTCAGCTGCGGCCTGCTCTGCTGCCATCGCTGTCGCTACTGCCGTTGCCCGCCTTGCCGCCGTCGTTCGCTTTCCTAGGCAAACAGGTCCAGCAGGCGGACCGTCAGATCTGGTCTGCATAATTCATCTACACAACTTGTCAGCTCTGCAACTCCTTTTTCGATTCCCCATCCATCCATTCAATCACCCATCCTACTTACTGCTTCATGCCCCTGGCGTTTGTTTCTCTCCCGTGTCGCCTAATCACAAATCACACACACACGCACAACACAGCCCCTGCTGACTGAACAAACACCCCTGAACAGCACATCCTATCAGGCAACCGAGAGCGACCGGTTTTTCTACCCGTTTGTGGTGCCTGCCGTGTTCGAATGTCGCGGATATCCTGATACCACCTACCTTTCTCCCGGTCGCAACAACCCTTCGACAACACCTCCAGCGACCATCCTCCTACTCCCTCGTCGTTCCTGTCGACAAAAAGACGTGGCGAACACCCCTACTTCTGGCCGAATGCCCCTCCCGCGACCGCTGTCTTAGACATGAAGAGATTATGGGCAGCGAGACGCTCCTCCTCCGACGGCGAGGAGACGTCGCCGCTGCTCTCCTCCTCCTCCGACCATAACGCCGGCACCGCACCGCATCCACGCCCGAGCGACCACAGCCAAACTCAAACTCAAACACCACCCTTCGACACCACTCCCGATGCCGTCCCAGCGGCAGCAACCCACATCAGCCAGACGGAGCGCGTCTGGCTTTTTGTCGGGATCTTCCTGGTCGGCTACGCCTACGGTCTCGACAGCCAGGTGCGGGGAACATACCAGCCCTACGCCACCTCCAGCCTGAAGCTGCACTCGTCGCATTCGACCATCAACGTCCTCCGCAGCGTCGTCGCCGTCGCGTCCCAGCCGACCGCCGCAAAAATCGCCGATATCTACGGCCGCTTCGAGACCACCCTCGCCGCCATATTGCTATACGTTGTCGGCACCGCCTTCGAGGCCAGCGCCACGACCGTCGAGGTCTTCTGCGTCGGCGCAATCCTCTACCAGATCGGCTACACCTGCCTCGTCCTACTGCTCGAGGTTCTCGTCGCCGACTTCTCGTCTATGCGCTCGCGTGTCTTCTTCAGCTACATTCCTGCGATCCCTTTCGTCTTCAACACGTGGATTAGCGGCAATGTCACCGCGGCCGTGCTGCACGTCACGTCTTGGCGCTGGGGTATTGGCATGTGGGCCATCATCCTGCCCTTCTCCTCCATCCCGCTCCTCACCAGCCTCTACGCCTTTGGCCAAAAGTCGAGAAAGTCGCGACACTCTCGTGTGTCAAAGGAGGGCGGCGGCGTCACTCTCTTCCACCAGCTTGACACCATCGGCCTCGTCATCCTCATCTCCGCCTTCTCCTTCACCCTCGCCCCCCTGACTCTCGCGGGCGGCACCGTCAGCCACTGGAAATCCCCCGCCATCCTCGTGCCCCTCATCTTCGGCATCGTCTGCATCCCCGTCTTCGTCTTCTGGGAGCGCCAGGCCCAGGTGCCCCTGATCCCTTTCCGTCTGCTCAAGGACCGCGGCGTCTGGGCCGCTCTCGCCGTCCGCAGCCTGCTCAACTTCGCCTGGTCCACCCAGGGCAACTACCTCTACACCGTGCTGATCGTTGCCTTTGACTTCTCCGTCGAGACCGCCACCCGTATCCTGTCTTTCTTCTCCTTCTTCGGCGTCTTCAGCGGCGTCCTCATCAGCTTCGTCATCTACAAGATCCGCCGCCTCAAGGCCATCATCGTCACCGGCGCCTGCATCTTCACAGCCTCCTTCTTCATCCTCATCGCGTACTCGGGCGGCGCCGATGCCTCGTCTCACAGGGGCCTCATCGTCGGGCAGGTTGTCATGGGCCTGGCCGGCGGTCTGTTCGCGTACCCCACGCAAGCATCCATCCAGGCCTCGGCGGACCGCGAGCACGTCGCCGTCATCACGAGTCTCTACCTGTCGCTCTTCAACGTCGGCAGCGCCCTGGGTAACTGCCTGTCCGGCGCTCTCTGGACGCAGCTTCTATACCCCTCCCTCGACGAGAGCCTGGCTTTCCAACCAAATAGGACCCTTGCCGCGGCCATCTATAACTCGCCCTTCGACACCCTCAAGGACTACCCCGTCGGCACAGACGTCAGAGACGCCGTCATCGGCAGCTACAGCGGCGTCCAGCGGGTTCTCTGCATTGCCGCCCTTTGCATTTGCATCCCGATGGTCGGGTTCTCCTTCATCCTGAGGAACCCGAAGCTTTCGGAGGACCGGGTCCAGACGGACGCGGATAACGACTCGGAATGAATTGTTTTTTGTTTCAGAGAGCGAGCACAGCAGCATATGATATCCCACACTACTACACAACCGCGTTGCTTATCAGCGCTTGCATAGATATTGATAGATCGCGAGCCAGAGGCCATTTGAGGCCCTCCGCACTAGCATACACTTTGTTGCGTGCGAATTTTCCCAACCCGTTTGAGGGTCAATACATCAAGACTTTTGTTGTTGCAGTTACATGTTGAAAGCAATTACCGAGGTTTATCTGGCGAGGAAATGTCGCTAGTGACAAGATGTAGACTGTTCCGACGCTTGTTGTAGGTTTAGTCTTTGACTTTGCCATTGGACGAACCAAAGGTCTCAGGTTGGACCTCTAGAAACATTCCGTAGGTATGTTTACACGCGAGTCATGGCTTAGGGTCGGTGCGTGATACGTCCCATTGGGCACCATTCCATCCGCAGCCTATGGACTACACGACAAGATCCTGCTTCAACGTTCATCCGCCGGCTACTTGGGTCTTTTCGCTGCAGATCGGCTAACTGTAACCCTCCCGTCATTCATCAGTCTACAGGTGTACGACGGGACCTTTCGATATCATCCACGCAGCACAATGCAACGTACAACTGAATGCGCCTATCATTTCATCTCCCACGAAGCCCGAGACCTTCTCGAGGATGCTAGCATTCGGCGCCCAGATACAACCGCCCCCTGATGCATTTGATGGAGCTTCTGCGAAATCGGCACGTCCTTTAGACTCTTTCTCGTTGGGTCAGGCGTTTCAAAGGTCTGATTACTTGGGCTGCTGTCCGTTTTCCACTAGGGCGGTATTGAGGGCGTTGGTGACCTATAATTGCCCGCCCAACTCTTACTCGGAGCACTGCTGTAGGGGGCGTTATGGCTTTGACGATCGCGGAGTCTGAAGGAATGGTGTCTCGGAAAGGTGTTGTCCCGGAGGAGGGGAGGAAAGGGCTTGTGGTGTTTGAGGTCATGGTATTTCTGATTAGAGGTACCTGACAACCCAGTGGGGGTTTGATAAGCCGTGGCTGAAATGTTGCAGTTGGCGGTCTGTAAAACGCCTGCTGGTTTTTCTCACACGCAAGAATTCTTGAGGTGAGCTTTTCTCCGAAGGTAAGGTATTTTGCATCATGTCGGTTGTGGATGTAGTCAATCAGCTGGTCCTACCCCCCTG